TTGCAGGAGACCACAGAGCTGGGAACACCCCGGTTTAATGGCTGCAGAAAATGCAGAGGGTAGTACACCTAGGTTTTTCAGAGATGTATTCCAGAAGTAACTAAAGGAGTGTCTCTGTGGTCTAGTGTGCTACCTCCTACAGTTCTGATAGTCCCATGGTATTTTGTTTCTCCAGGTGCATAACAGCTGAAGGGCAAACAGCTGATAGCTGCAGCAGCTACTCCACAATCTGCATGCAAACTTCCCACTCCTACAGCCTGCATGTTTTCCCCTTCCTTACAGTTTAAGCCATTATGCACTATCACAAGGGAAAAACATTTCCTGCAGCCACTTACACAGCACTGTCTGTGACCAGGCTGCACCGTCTGAACCCTACATAAACATGCTGCTATTTACCACGTTTCTGCATGGCCATTTGCATTCAACTATTAAAAACTGTAGTTTTAACAGGTAATTATAAGGAGCAGAACGGTTAGCACCCTGCAGAATAATGCTCCCCTTAATCTGGCAGAGTAGCACTGCATAACCATACATTACATTCATGTAGGCTGTATTTCCTCTCTGGGAATTGCTGTAAAATGCCGTCATCCAGAATTAATTACTTTTTATTTACTGCATTGGTATGTCTTACATTGGAAAACTACTCATCCTTTACAATACCATAATTAATGTTCAGGTCATAGCCCTTAGTCTTACTTGTTGCCAAAGTAAGATCAAAGTAGCCATTTCAAACCCTGAGCTACAGTGTTCACATACACGTAAAAAATAAAGCAGGAAAGAAAAAAAACTCCCCCATTATTTCTGTAACAGAAATACTCTTCACTTCAGCAAGAGGAAGAGAATCACATGTGGCCTGGCAAATTAAAATGCTTAGAGCTTTGGACATAGTTCCTCATACCTATCAATCAAAAGTATTTTTTTTAATATGAAAGCACACTTAATGTAAGACAACATTAAGACGTTCTGATGGTAGCACTGATTAGCATGTCTGTGCTACACAGAGACTGATTGCTTGGCAACGACTTTCAAAAACATTCCCTACAAAAGAAACCACAGCACATATGACACTCATATATAACATGCTAAAAATCAGGTTTTAAAACACGGTGTCAGGAATTCTCATTGCCTAAAAAGGGCATAAAGGCCAGCTGAAGCCCTAATCTAATCCAACAAGCCCCTTCGCCGCCCAGGAAACACATCTGGGACTTGACTTGCTTTCCATCACCCCTGTGGCAGTGCGGCACACGGAAAGATCCACGTGTAACAGACTAGAAGTTTTCAGAAGGAGCTGTTATTTGGACTGAATACTTGTGGCATGTCTTACTGCTAAACTGTAACCGTCAATTTTGGCTTCACAGATACTTTGCTCTTTTTTGATAAGCAGAGCTAGTTTTCCTCTAAGTCTCCTTCTTAGCTCTACCATGAAAACACTACATACTTTAAAAGTCAAAAGGTATTCTTTTCTCAGGTATGTAACTAAAAGGTAAAGTAAGTTCTTCACTCTTAGCAACTTCATAGTTGCTGAAGAAACACATAGGGAAATGGAAACGAAGCTATTACTTCCAACCAATCAAATTGCAATTCCCTGTTAAGCAGAAGAGATGGAGAAAAATCAGAAATTAAGATATTCCACTGGACATCAGAGACAAAAATCTTGCCCTTATTCCTTCACCTGAGAAATTAGAAGATAGCAGTAACTTTACTTTAGGCCATTTTATAATTACCTGAATCACTCTCTGGAAGACTGTCAAGCAACTTTCACACACTTCTTATCTACACGTTAAAACATTTTTCTTTTCTCCTCTCTGAAAGCGTACTTTTAAAAACTGTAAGATTCTACAAATAGCTAGTTTCCCATTTTCTTTCAAAAATTCACCTTTCAGAAATTTCTCTTATACTTCGGAATACAGTTTCTTGGGACTTACAGAAAGATCCTGCCCACAGGAAACCAGAGTCCTGTTAAAGCCCACTGTAAATGGTTTCCATAACTAGGATTTTAAAATAGAAGTGACATCATGAAAAACAAACCGAGCCGGTTTTGGCCAGCACATTCGCAAAGCTCACTTTAATCTCATTTGTTCCTTTGGAGCCTCCTTCCCCCCAGCCTCTGGGTGAACCCAGCCCGGAGCAGGGAGGTCTGGAGCAGGGCAGTCCGAAGGGCTGTCGGCAT